CCACACCAGTATGTCCCTAAACTATGTCAGAGATGGTCATCACTGCTAAACTCGATGTACCACTTAAAGGACTAGTGCCTCATGACTATGCAGCTGTGTTTGAACCACACTACACTAATCATTCCACTACCGGTTTTGCATGGACTGTAGCAAAAGCAGAACAAGGTTTCATCTATGTGAAAGTAGCTAACCCCTCCAGCGAGGACGTCATGTTACATTGTGGCACTCACTTTTCATGCCACATCTGGAAACAGCAAAGATGAGTACACTGTGATGGAAAGTTCTGTCTGTAATGTCAACATTCAGATGCCTGTCATGTCGAAGCCAACTGTACTGCCTGACATTTCAAACCCTGACCTCACAAGTGCACAAAATAAGAAACTGAAAGACACTTTAAGTTCATTTTCGGATGTTTTCAGTCAACACTTACACATGACATTTTGGAAAGGACGCGCTGGTTACACACAAAAATTAACAAACCAGCTGTGACACTTGCCCAATCATTCAACAAAGAAGACCTAAACCGTTGATAACCTCTCCTGCCAATGAAAGCCAGAAATTCACCGTCAGGTGAAGGAGCCTCTCAAAGCTCAAGTATCATCATTGAGGACACGTACAACCCCTGGGGCCAGCCCAGTGGTCATGGTGAAAAAGAAAGATGGCACAAATCAAACTGAACTCCAGTTACCATAACTGATACCACATCCTCTTTCCCGAAGGTTGTAATACAGATCTGGGATGGCATTATCTTGCTCATCAGTTTTTTTCTCACCAAAATTGGACATGTCAAGATTGGATACTGGCCAAAGTCTGAAATGGATCCTGCGAGGCTAGACCCAAAACCGCATTTACAACAGGTCGATTGGTCTCTAACAATTCAAAGTGAATGCCCAATTGTGTCTGAAAAACTCTACTCAACCAACTTTTCAGAGACTAATGGCTTGTTTGAGAGGTCTCCACTGACCAACATGTCATTTGTATCTTGATGACATAGATATTGCCATGAAACGAGACTTTGATCATACCGGCAAAAACTCTGACAGACATTCTCACACATATTCAGTACAAAGCCCAGGTTGAAAACTAAACTTCAAGAAACTGTGACTTTTGCAAATCCTGCAGTCCAAGTATATCGGACTACATTGTTTCACTGTCGATGGACTGGGGCACTAGGATCCAAGTTGATGAGGTGGTCCTGTCCCAAGAATCACCTTACTGACTGTATCGAGCATTTCTGGGAAATTGTGCTTTTCTATTACATGACGTTTTTGTTGCACAAGTATGCTTCATTCGCTCCATACCTCTTCACAGACATCACCACAAAAACATGGTGTCATATTTGATGGACTGAAGAGCTGCTCAACCTGCATTTCCAGACATTAAGAACGATGCACTCTGCTCCCGCTCCAATAATGGCATTTCCATAGCTTTCCATACAGCGAATTCATTCTAAGTACGGATGCCTCCTAAACTAGTGCGGAGATGTTGATGCAGTGCTTTCTCAGGTTCAAAAATGGAAGGAACAGGTTGTACGTATGCCTCAGTCCATGGTTCTGACCCCACGAGAGAAAATATGGGTCCACAATATGGACCAAAGATACTTTGGGCCAATATTGTCTGGTCTGTCCAGACACTCAGACACTACATCTTGAGTTGTAATCCATTTAAGCAATCATTACTAATCATCATCCACTCCTTGTTTACGGAAACTGGATGTCACAATGACCAACCAGGACGACCGTGGTCGTGGGCTCTGGAGTTGGAGTCCATATCAATGGACAAATAACACAAGGAGGGAAAGAAACCACACAAATGCTGACGCTATGTTACGGATTCCCCTCCCCACAAGAGGACCCTATGGTTCCAGAAGAAACAGTGTCTCCCTCACAGGACAGCAACTCCTCTCCTGTCCAACTGGATGCACTGCCTCCAGTTCCACAGTTGCACAATCTGTCAACATCAAAAAGAAAAGGACCTCACCTTACCACCCACGTGGAAATGGGATGGTTGAGAGATTTAACAGGACTCTAAAAGAACAATTGGCTAAGCTCATTCATCATCATGGTGGTGAATGGCCCCTGTTTACCATCATAACGCTGATTCTGGATGGAGTCTCGATGCTGGTGAATCAGGAAGCGGTTGACTCTTGGATTTAAACTGGTGCAACAGAGGAAGGCTGCAAACACCGATGTTTCATACAATTAGTTGGAAAGGTAAGAAAACATAATCGTTCTGTAACCCACCCTACAACGCTGACATGCTTGAACTTAAGGGCCACAGGAGGTTCTTAGAATTTCCATGAAACGCTGTACAGGTGAACTCTGTTTCAAGAAAGATTTTCATTTCGCAGAAGTGAGTCTGCAGCACAGGCTGACCACTCCAACATGTAATAGCTGACTTTTTTCTTTCCATTCATCACCTTTGTGTCTGGCTTAAATTCACCACAGTTACTGAGCACAGTGTTCCAAGTTAATAGACACACTTACAAAACATATTTTGTAAATTGATAACATATGACTCGTCTTTGCACTGTATTATCTTGTTAAGAATTCACGGGTTGCAAATGTCACTTCAGTCCAAGTAGGAGCTGAACTTGAGGTATGCTGACAATAAAGGGAGATTTTAACCATTAAAATAGAACACATATTTGTGGATGTCAGTAAAAAATAAACTGCAAAAATAACCCTTGGGTTCAGGTACAACTTGAGTGTAACAAACTGTTCTCCCCTGCAGCATGGACACCACCTATCCTTGATTTCATGAATATGATATAAAAACACATTAGTCTTCTACAGCAACACAATTGTGGCCACTGATGGATATGAGCTTTATTGTCTGTGCATTCAGCTTCATTCTGGACCACAAATTAAAAACTTTCCACAACAACCAATAATCAAACAGAAAATCACTTTTACAGAGGAAAATCATTTTAATCAGTGTGTATAAAAAAAAAAAATATTAAAGAAACCAACAGTACAAGAAGTGTGAACACCAATGAAGTCACTTCCTGGAAATCTCAGAGGCTGTTGACAACCAACCTCCATTCATCACTTTGAAATCATAAAAGATAATATACATGTCCAGGAAGTCAAACAATTTGGCTCATCATTTATATACATTCTGAAATAATCACAGTTCTGACAAATACGTTTATGCTAATTACTTCACTGATCGGAAACCTATTTTCCTCTACAGACAGATTTACTCAAATTGGTATTTATTACATTTTTAACAACTCATTGTGATATTCAGTCTTTGAATCTGAACAATATGATTCAAAGACATTAAACAGTTAAAATCTACTTCGATTTGACTGCATTGTCTTTGTTTATATATTTAAAATGGAGTACAGCAATAACTGAAATGTCCCTGTTAAATGTCCCTGCCAGTCTACAAAAACAAGTTACCATTTAAGAAACCTCAGGTTCAAGCTGATAATGTAACATGACTTGTGTGGCTGTGCGGACCTTCTTCTGTGTCAGGAGTTTTGAATCACTAATGTGAGTGTATCTAAGGACAAGAACCTTACTATGAAGAGCTGTGAGAGGCTGTTTCTCGCCAACAGAGCTGAAATGATTTAAAGATGTGCAGATTCCTGACGGTTAGAGCGGGAGAAGACAGAAATACATGTAGGTGGAATCCCTCCCAACAGTGACAGACGTTTAGTGAAACAGAATCCATGTTTATTGTGATAGTGTGATAGTGTTACCTTTTGGCGTACCAGACAGATGGGGTTTGCTACATGATGACTGCTTGAAAAGTTTAGACAATCACAGGAATGTTTACAAGGTTCGTGAGTAGATCTGATTTGCAATTGCCCTAGGTAAAACCTCCAGTCTGGTAGTCCAAGTTAAATCAAACTATTTGCATTGTGAAAATACCAATTAAAGCAGAGCTAACTGTGCAAATAAAAAGCTAAATTAGTGAGGAACAAAAAGCTCATTTTAAAAATACAGGCACAAACAATTTCAAGCTCCATTGGCAAGGGGGAAAGAAAATCTGCTAATTCTACTTTCCACCATCATGCAAGTGTGAGAAAAGCTATAAAACAGCAATTTTCATCCTTTCTGGCTTGTGCATTCTTAAAACAAAGCTATACCTTCTTGTGAGTGAGACATTAACGGTTCAACCATACAGTGAATATCAAAGGAAGCAGACACATTTTCACACAACATAATTTAACATTGTGAGACAATCTGGAAGCAAATACATGAGACAGTAAGTTAATGCAGAAGGAGAATATTGTTTGTAGTCCTATACGTCATCTCCTCCTCCAACTTCAGGCTGAGATCTGCTGTCATAAGGCTGTAAAAGTCCTTCAGCTTGACAAGTAGGCTGATTTCACAAAGGCTAGCTACCGTAACACAGGCACTACCATAGCAGAAGACAACTTTCTGATTGAAAGCCTTGTGATACAGGCTTAAACTACCTATTTTTATTGTCAGTTAATGTTTTAATCACTGAGAATAAATTAATTTTTTAAAAAGGTCCAGTGTGTAGGATTTAGTGGCATCAAGCGGTGTAGTTGCAGATTGCAATTCACTCGTTTCACCACCCCCTTCTAAGCACGAGGGAGAAACTACAGTGGCCGTGAAATGTGCAAAGAACTTGAATGTCCCTATCTACAGCCAGTGTTTGATTTGTCCCTTC